GGGCCGCGCCGGCGGAGGGAGCGGGGGCCGCTGTGCCTAGGTCCGCGTCCGCCGGCCCGGAGCCCCGAGAGTCTCGCGGACCCGGCGCTCCACCGGACCCGGCGTGGGAGGGGGAGCTGTGAAAGGTGGAGCGAACTTGGGAGCCGCTAGGAAGAGGAAGTGTAAAGCTTTGAGCTGTGGGAATAGGAGGATGGCTGTGAACGCCCGAGCGCTCAGAGGCGAAACAGAGACCAGGTAGTTCCTCTTCCCGCTCTCCCTCTCCCTTCCCGCCCAGGAAAATGGGGGTGAACGCGATCGACGGGTGCCGAGGGCCTGGGGAGCGGGGTCCGACCCTCGGCGACCCCCTCGGAGCGTGAGGCGTGGCCCCTCCGCCGTCCGCAGTGCTTTTTAGCGGGAGGTGGTGGAACTCACCAGCCCACTGAGCAAATTCGGTTTTTAAAAAAGTGATTTGTGGGGCTGGTCGTGTGCTTTCGAGATGGAAGTTTTCATAGCTCAACATGTTTGCAGCTCTGCCGTAATCTGAGCTCTGTAAAAAGTGGGGCATACTGGCACGGTTGTAACATGCAAGAGTTAGAGCCTTTGTCACTATAAAGAAATTAAGGAAAACTTACCACGTTTCAGGAAGAGAGTCAAGGTACAGGGCTGACAGTTTGTTCCCTTGTGCCTAGTTCTGTTCTGGTTGTCTTACATGTATTAGCTCATTTATAGTTTTGTGCCCTATAGAAATTAGACATTTACGTACAGATAGGCCTATGGACGCTTGTTTTTTCGCCTTTGTAACACCAACAGACGACTCCAAATCAACTGTCTGTAAATACAGGAACGACTGAACTTACGCAATTCATAAATCATATATTAATTCTGCTGGTGTGTAGAATGAAATGGAGATGAGTGTGTATACACTTCCAGTTTCTATAGTTGCTTTGCAAATTATCCTCACAATTTAGCAGTAGAAAGCAATCATTTATTATGCTCCCAGATTCTTTAGGTCAGAAATTCACAGCAGGATGGCTTTTCTTTGCTCCATTACACATACGTCATTAGGGAGACTCAAAAGTTGAGAATTAGAATCATTTGAAAATTCATTCAGGCTGGGAGTTAATGCTGCATAGGGGTTAGAGGCCTCAGTTGTGGACCTCTTTACGTGGTCTTGTATTATGGATTCGTTTGGGCTTTCTTGCAGCTGCTTGGCTGGTTCTTAAGACAAGCATACTGAGAGCGAGCGAGCCAGGCAGAAGCATATCGCCTTTGTGGACCTAGTCATGATATGTCACTTCTGCTGCATTATATGTATCCCAGCAGTCACAGAATTACATCCAAGTTCAAGGGATGGGGAAGTTCAACACTATAAGGTGGGGATGAAGACATTAATAATGAAAACCTCTTGATAGGGAGAGGTTCTCAAAGACCATCTGCGACCAAAAAGCATTGCTGTGACCATTTTTGGAAAATACAACATTCCCTAAGCACTTAATTTCTAAGACCTCCGAAGCTACTACAGGGAAGGGGAAAAATAAACAAGATGTAGAAGTACAGTGTGATCTCTTTATGTTCTTTAAAAAGCACAAAACCCATATTTTCAAACATGCATACAGTGTTTAAAGTTACGTGTTTTTCAAAATACATAGTTTATACATATTACCTGGATGTTCAGGCAAACAACAGTCTGTTCACATCATGGAGGGTAACTAACCAAATGGCCCTCACAGAATTTTTAAGGAAATGCTTAAGGGTAATTTTTATTTAGAAAAATTTGAGTCATTCATTTTGGAATAAAATCCGTTTCAAGGGCCAAGGATATAGCTCACTGGCACAGTGCCTGCCTGGCAGGCACAAGGTTCTGAGTTCAATTCCTGGCACCAAAAAACAAACAAACAAAAAAACCTTCAAAACCGTATGACTCCACAGTAATGAAAGTGGCAGGTAGTCTTCATGCTCTTTCCATATTACAACTTGGCATTGAGCTTGCTCAATTGAATGTTGTCTCAAAGTTATTTTCAGAAAGTTAATGTTGTGCAGACCTCCTTAACATCAGGGACTAGGTGTTACCACTTTGTTTTTCATCTCTAACACACAAAAGGAGACTTTAGTTAAACTTTTTAGCGATCTAGAACCCCTACAATGACAAAGTAAATTCTATTTTCCTTAATAATAAGTTGGTATGATTTCAGATATCAATGCTCCAGTGACTCCACATAGTTAAAATCCCAATGATGGTCATCTAAATCAGACAACCTCTCTAAGAAATCTTTCTTTATACTTAAAAAAAATTTTCACTCATGTTTACTGGGTATGATGATAGCATTATTTTAGTCACAGTCATAGGATTAGTTCACTGTAATGCTTTAAGCATAATTGTCTATTATGAGGCTCCAAAAAGACAGCTACTTCCATGATCAATGATTTTTTTTCAAACTTTTCTTATTTTAAAGAGAAAAGAAAGCAAAATAACAACAAAGATAAAAATAAGACAACACAAAAACAATAAAGATGCACAATTTCAGAAGATGACAGGAAATGAACCATGGTTGTTATATTACATATTATTATCTTTAACAAAGTTGCTCAGATTACCAGATGTAAGAATGCAAGATTGATCAAACAATTAAAGAGATTAAAAAATAATTTAAGAAAACATTAGAAACAATACAGTTTCACTAATTAAGATGGTAGGAAATCAACAATGGTTGTTATATTGCATATTGTCTTCAAATTAGTTGTTCAGGTTACCAGATAAAAGCACGCAAAATTGGTCAAAAAAAATTTAAGCATTAACTGTTTCTTTCAATAAACCACTGGACATTAGCAGTACAGTTATCCTAGCTATCCTTATATATCCATATATATTTTTTTCCCTTCCTTCTTTCTCTCCTCCTTTCCCTCATCTCATTTGTTCCTTCCATTTGAGCAATTTCTTTCCCTTTCACAATATCTATTGTACTTTTGGAGTTTTATTTACTCTTTTAGATTCTTACAGTAGGGAGACTATGTTTACACATGCAGGTCTGATTTATTTCACTGATGGGTATAGTCTCTATTTTACCATCCATTTACCTATAAATTCTCCAGTTTATCTTCTTTTATAGTTGACTTATTGGAAAATAAATGGTTCCAGAGCAGAGGAAGTATAACCGGTGATAATCTTCTCTCTGGATAATTGGTATTTTCATTGGTTTGTAATATTCTAAGATGCAACAGTCGCTTTCACTGTTGTTCTCTTTTGAGTAACAAAAGGACGTCTTAATTTTTTTTAGAACAAAATCTTTTTTAAATTAATTAAAATGACTAGTAGGAATTTCAAAACAACATCCTAAAGCAAAGTTCTGAAATTAGTTTGGAAGGAGAAAATTTCTTTCCTTAATCTGTCCTTATTCTTTTCGAATAGCAAGACATTTTTCTCTTCTTGGCTAGATTTAGAGAGGAAACCTAGCTGTGTACCAACACTATAAGGTGGGGTGAAGACATTAATAATGAAAAGGTGCTTTAAATTCTCTTGACTCAGCAGGATGACATTATGTGCCATAGGCACAAATGCTGAATAATTTAAACATTTGTCTAGTTTTATTGTACACATCATGTGGTTCTTAATGCTACTAATCCTGTCTATTATACATAAAACCAAGAATGTATGTATCCTTTACTTTGTTTCGTTCTAGATGAAAGAAAGGGCATATATCAAAATTGAAGGCTATAGAATTTAATCAAAGGATGAATATTAATATATTGTTTTACTACCTGTAATCCTGGAACACTCGGAGATTCCCATGTAAAGTGCTTTAATTAACAACTGTATTCTTCCCTTTGAATGTGGGGCGTGACAGTCTGTTCTTTAACCCTGTGTCCTTTTGAGAGCAGTGACTGGCACTGCTCTCACAATTGTAGGCACAGATTTTGTCTGTAGAAGCGAGGCCTTGGCCCCAAGAGGGTTGTAGTCAAATGGTCTCCATTTCCATTACTTTCAGCCTCACACTAACTTTGCATAATCTTCCCAAAGACAAGGACGGCTAGTT